CCGGTACTCACTTGGAAAGCAGGCTGAGTGGACCGGGGAGCCGTCTGGAAGGGATTAGAGCAAGCTGGCCCCTACCTGGGATTGAACCCGGGACCTTCCGGTCAAGAGCCAGACGCCCTTGCCCTCTGAGCTACCACAATTCCCCTGCGTCATCCTGCGCTGTGCAAATGACTCCTGCTCCATCGCCTTTGGCTTGGACGGTGTGCACGATACTATTCATTTACACCGAGCTTAGTCTGTAGTGAAAGCTAAGGATCTCCTCCAGTGCTGTGTTCCTGTTGGCAGCCGGGAGATGCTGGCACCTACACCTGCGTGGCAGTGAACGCCGCCGGCACGGCCCGCCGCCACGCCCGCCTCTCCGTGAACGTGCGCCCCGTGCTCAAGGAGCTGCCCGGCGACGTGACCCTGAACAAGGGGCAGCGCCTCGTCCTCTCCTGCCACGCCCAGGGGGCACCCACCCCGACCATCTCCTGGACCGTCAACAACAAGCCCCTGCCAGGTACAACAGCCGAGGCCAGCTGTGGCACGGGCTGGGGGCAATTAAGTAATTAAGAACTGAAGGGAAATGAGAATCTGGAAGCCCTGCAGTACCGGGGCTGAGAGTGACGGGGAAAAGGTGGGATTTGGATCAGGGAAGTCCACTGTGGCCTGGCTGTATTCCGTGCCCTGCTCTATGTTTTTAATGGACTTCTGGCCCCCGATCGTCCGTCTGCTGGGATAATCCTGGCAGCCTCACTTTAAAGGGCCACCGAGCCAGCTGCTTTGAGGCCTACACTTCAAAGTGTTCACAGTTCAGGACGCTGGTTTTTGGGAAAGCCCGTGAAACTGACCATGATGGGTGGTCATTCTAGGACAAGGGAGGCTCCTCGAGGCTCCAGGGTCCTGCAGGTGTCACGCTCTGATTTTTTTTTCACAAATAGGTTCTTTGAAATAACGAAATAAAGAAAGTTGGCAAACAGGCGATTGGACTTAACAATCAGAGTCATTGCAATTGAAGTCTGTTAGGTAATTAAGACCCGGGTCTGAACCCGAACCGCAGAGCCCCCTGCTGGCCGTGCCCGCGCCGCGGTCTGACGGGGGTGTCGCTTGGCTCCCTCAGGACCCTCCTCGGTGGACGGCAGGAGCTCCGTGGTCATCGAGAGCGCCGCCGGCGGAGACTCGGGCACCTACGTGTGCGTGGCAGAGAACCGCGCGGGCGCCGTCCGGGCGCTGGCCTTCGTCCGCGTCAGGGGTAGGAGCGCGGCCGCCGCGGCGACGTGGGATCCGTGAGCGGAGCGACGAAGGGCCACGGGCCCCCCGTGTCGGGGTTCCCGGCACGCGTACCTCGCCTGACGCAGGATCGCGAGCACCGGCTCCCCGTTTACCCACAAGTCCCTGACTGCCTGTTCTGATGTATTGCAGCGTCTGCAGGGACGATCCGGTGCTCCATAAACTATTAAAAATAAACCTAGTTATGCAACAATCACAGATTTGTGCATAACAATTTTATAACGGTTAAAACGAGTGTATAACACTGGTGCGGTATTAAACATAGCGCCCTCACAGATCTGGGTCCCTGGGTTCAACTCCAGACCTGGGGTGCTGTCTGCGTGGAGTTTGCGTGGTCTCCCCATACTTGTAGGTTAATTGGCTTCTGGGAAAATTGCCCCTGGTGTGTGTTTGTGTCTGTGTGTGCCCTGCAGTGGACTGGTGTCCCATCCAGGGGGTATCCAGCCGCGCCACTGTTCTTTGCTGGGAGAGACCCCAGCTCCACCCATGTGTGAACCTCTGCTGGTTAGACAATGGATGGATTGGGTCTGCAGAGAACCGCCAATTTCGCGAGTGGAGTTACAGTCTTACGTTCTCTTCATAAAGTGAAACATGGATCTCGTTTTCCCCCCGTGTCTTTTAGAGCCCCCGGTTCTGGACGGGACGTCCCACAGCTCCCAGACGGAGCCCCTGGGGGGCAACGCCCTGCTGGACTGCGTGGCGCGGGGAGACCCCGCCCCCACCCTGCGCTGGCACAGGGAGGGGCAGCCCCTGAGCGGGACCCTCCGGGTGCACCAGCTGCACAACGGCTCCCTGGCCATCTACGGCGTGGCGGTAACCGCATCGGGTGTCCACCAAGGGCGCATTCACGGAATCGTGACGGTGTATTGCTCCCCACTTCCTCGGTTCTCCAAATCCCCAGGGAAAATAAATCAATCTGGGCCGCTTGGCCTGGGCTTAGCTGGCCAGCGTAACTGTTGTGAACAGTTGTGATCAAGTGACCTGCTACTCTAGCAAGTGAAGGAGCGCGTCCCATTCTGTCCAATAGTGAAGGAGCACTCTTGGGACACTTCCTGTACTGTGTTAAGTTACAGTATGTTGCTGTATACAGCACGTGGCAGTTTAGATATATTCAGGATATTCTGTGCCCTGTGTTGTGTCACTTACTGTGCTATGTGGACTATTTTAGCAGCACACTACACTGTAGGATTGCAGTAAAAAAATGTCAGTTTTGAGCAAATTCCTCCCCCACCGAGTTATCATTGTGTGACGATACCTGCCCGATTTAGAGTTAGATATTTCAAACTTTGCCTTTAAAGTTTATTCTTTAATTGAACCTCCATTTCAACCGCTTTGCGAAGCCAGAGCCACTGGCCCCGGGCTGCGATTCAGGGAGCGAAACCCATCACAAGCAGGATGATCCGAAAGCAGTGCTGGTGCGGAGTTGGGGGGGATGGTGTGTGACGTGATAATGCCAGGCACTGCGGCGCTGCCGGGCGAGGGCGCAACTCCAGTGACGCGCCGCGGCGATTAGTACCGCGTGCTGGGCCCTGGGGCCTCCCCGTCCTGGTCCGATCCGTGCTCTCAGACCCGCTGTCTCGGCCTGTGCGTTGCAGAGCGGGGATGCCGGGGAGTACCGCTGCGCGGCGGAGAGCGAGGCCGGCGCGGCGGAGAGGACGGTCCTCCTCAGGGTGCAGGGTGAGGCCGCGCCCCGTTGAGATCCATCTCGGAGATCTGGGGGGGGGGGGCAGGGAGGGCATCGGGTACACCCATGTGCACAGTAAGAGCTGGCAGCGGTATACCGTTGGCAAAGGGGAGAGGGGAAATGCACTACAGCAGTGAAATCGTGGTAAAAACGTGGCACAACTGGCGTAGCTGCCATGACAAAACTAAAGTGAAGGTTTAACGATTGTCACTGGCATAACTGGCTTGCCATGGTGTATTGTAACTGGGTGCGCCTCTGGCCGGATTGCCGTAGTGTGTAGACAGTGTGGACGTTCTGCATACACAAGTGTAGCAGGCAGCACTCTGTTGGTTTTCAGTACACAAAACGACTTTGCCGTTTTCTCCTGCTGGTGATTACGGTTGTGATCAAGTGACCTGCTACTCTTGCAAGTGAAGGGGCGCGTCCCATTCTGTCCAATAGTGAAGGAGCACTCTTGGGACTCTTCCTGTACTGTGTTAAGTTACAGTATGTTGCTGTATACAGCACGTGGCAGTTCAGATATATTCAGGATATCCTGTGCCCTGTGTTGTGTCACTTCCTGTGCTATGTGGACTTTTTTTCAAACACTCTAAACCAGGTATTTTGCAGGAGGTTAATAATTTTATCATTCGGTAATTGTTGCAAACTGATATCCCTTTCGAAAAAAGCCATGAGCACAACATACAGCATGTGTAATAACTGGAGAGTGGGGAACATGTCAATGTGGGCGTGAAACTGTGAGCAGTGAAGTTCTGACAGCCGGCTCTGTCCTGGCCTCCCGCAGTTCCTGGGGGGTTTTCCACCTGGCTGGAGTGGGGTCCCTGCAGCGTCACCTGTGGGCGGGGCGTCCAGGAGCGAATCAGATTGTGCAACAATCCGGCCCCGGCCAATGGCGGCAGGCAGTGTGAGGGGAGGAGTCTGGATTCCAGGAGCTGTCAGGCTAAACTCTGCCCAGGTGCTGGCGTCACAGCGAAAAATATTTGACTTATTACGCATTTAATGGGGGAACTGCAGTCCTGATTTCTCAGACCGGTTATTAAACCTCAGTAACAAAATGAATTCGTTAACGACGTAGAAAAGAATGACGAATTTCGAATTGAGCACAAAATCGTGCACTTTGTGAAAGTACTGCAAAGTCACCATGTTTTCACAAACTCACATATGAGTTCCCATGAATTGTGACGTGAAGCAGCCCTACCTGCTCACTAGTCACCATCTTGACGAATGCACTGCGATGCACAAGCATATCAGTACAGATCGTGCAGCAGAAATTTCACCGAAGAAATGTTCCAGCGTGATCTGCGTGCAAACTTATCAAGTAAGTAAGATTTGTCTGCAAAACCGCATGGAAGTCGAGAGCAGTATTTCTAATTGGATTAAAAGAGCTGGATTCACAGGCCTGCTTGTTTACAATGTAACAGGGCTGCAGCACCTCACCGGAAGTGTTGTTGCCTCTATCTGAATTGCAGAACATGGCGCTGCGCACACCTGGAAATGTTGTAAATTGCAGGTTTTAGCAGTTAATGTGCACATTTTACTTTCAACGTGGTTTGAAATGACCCATCAACGCCAATTCGTTCTAACCCTGAAATATTTAAAGTGTTGCCGTTCCCCTTTAGACGAACACAAAAATCCATTACAATACGTACTCTGGTGAGGGGCTCTGTTGGTTTCGAACCACTTATTAAAATCACCCCACCGCCCTACGTCTCCTGGACACCTTCCCAAGCTCCTCTGCGCTCACGGCCCCTTGCCGCCTCTTCGCCATGTTGCTTTCCCCAAGGAGCCGTTCCCCAGAGGGCGAGGGGCAGCCTGATCGGGATGGTGAATGATCGAGAGTTTGGCGTGGCGTATCTGGATGCCAACGTCACGGCGCGCCCCGAGGACAGCGGGAGCAGGCTGCAGGCCCGCGTAGGGAACCTCCCGGGCGCAGTAGGTGAGCGCTCCGACCGGAGCCGCGGGACCGTCCCACACCGGGGGGGCCCCCGCAGGAGGGGGGGCCGGGCTGGGCTGGGCCGAGCGAGCGGCGCTGACGGGGCTGCCAACCCTCTCTGCTCTTCCCTCAGGGCCCCTGCTGCGGGTGCTGGTGTCCGTGTTCGCCCCCATCTACTGGACGACGGTGCTGCAGGCCGGCGAGTCCCGGAACGGCTTTGCTCTGACCCGGGGCGTGTTCAGACAGGAGTCTCAGGTGGAGTTCGAGACAGGTGAGAGTGGAGGGGAGGGAGGAAGGAGCAGGAGCTATCGCACAGGTGTGCAGTGCCCCCTGCCATGCCAAGGCACAGATGGACTGGGGAACAAGGACTGTGGGGCCCCTCGTGCTGCAAAGCATCCACTGGTGCTGTGGTTGTCAGATTGTGGTTGCCACTAGCTATCAGGTTACTGACCCCCTACCCCTACCACTGGCTCACACTGATGTTTTCTTTTTTATTTATTTAATTTGTATGCTTTTCAACCTGTTGTTCCTGCCGCTGCTGTTCTGTGTTCATGTTTTCTGTGATTGTGTCTTCGTATTGGAGCGCACACTCAAATAAGCATTTCCTTGCACTTGTGCACGATGACGATAAACTGACCTGAACGGGTTGTGCCTAGACGAGGTTGTGGAGTGGAGGTGGCACTGAACAAGTTAGAGGCCTGTGCAGCTTCCACACCCTGCCCGTGCTCTGATGACGCCATGCCGCTCTCCACCTTTGACCTTGTGACCCTGTCTGTGTCCAGGAGAGGTCCTCCGCTTGACCCATGTGGCCCGGGGCCTGGATGCAGAGGGAGTCCTCCTGGTGGACATCGTCATCAACGGCTTCGTGCCCAGGGCACTGGCCGGAGCTCAGCTCACGCTGCAGGTCAGTCCTGATGACCTCCGTAGAAACCAAGAAATTTGAGCCTGAAGTGTTCGTCCATCCAGCCAAGCTTTATTGCATGCATACAAGGAACTACAATAAGCACCATAATAGTTATAGTACCGATCGCAGCTCAAAGGGGATATGGTCCTACAGAACTTAAATATACGTTTCCCCCCCTCTCCTCCTCCCCCCTCCTGTCTTTGATGTAACCGAAGGAAATAGAAACCTTCCTTTGTCATCAGGAGTTTAGTGTAAACATCTACCATTTGGGTAAACATTCACCATTTGGGGGTAAGTACAGGGGGAGAAAGCCTCTGTGATCAAGCAGGCGTGATGGTTACAGAGCCTCTGTGATCAAGCAGGTGTGATGGTTACAGTTCAGCATGTAAAAGCCGTTAGCAGGCTCCATCACCTCTGACCCCTGGGTGACCCTTAACTCACAAGTTGACCCTCCCGCCTACCAAGCTACTTGGATAAGCCACTAAAAAGTGTTCAGCAACGTGTTGTGAAGCGTTCAGGTTGGGAGACAGTAATCTCTCCAGGTGAAGCTCGGGGAGGGGGGGTGAAATCAGCTGCAAACCATAAACAGCTCTACAACAGCTGTAAATCATGTTGAAGGTTTTCTGTATTCCTGTAGTCCTTCCTCTCAGCAGCTGGCTATTGCTAAACTGGGCACAGTCCTAGCAGGCACCTCCATGTGTGCGCGAGAGCCAGCAGCTCGTCGGATTAGAGCTCTTCCTGGTTTCCCTGGGGGTTAAGGGGTTTACAGAGCCTTACTTACCCACTCATTGACTTGCCTGTAAATCCTGTATACACATATACATACTATACTTTTGTATATGCAAGCGGATATACAAATATACAGTACTGTCTGACTTACTGCACTATACATTGTATTTTAAAATAGAATTTCTCCTGTAGTGTTAACCAAAACCACTAGGGTAGGGTTCACAGAGGTCCTATGTTATAAAAGTATGTTATTACAGCCATAATTTGTTTTCAGCTGTAGAAGCATGTTTTTGACTGTGCTCTTCTCTCTCCTCAAGGGCTTCAGGGAGTCCTATGTGCAGACTGGGCCAGGGCAGCTCTACGCCTGGTCCTCACAGCGCCCCCTAGTGAACGGTGCCCCTGTGTCACTGCGCTGTAACCACTCGGTGATCTACGAGGCGGGGGGCGCCCGGCAGGGACCCCTGCTGCAGGTCCTGAGGGTCTCCACCATCACGGGGGTCTACAGCCACCACACAGAAGCCATGGACTTCCATCTGACTGCCTCGCTGGAGCCTCCAGGTCAGTCCGGCCTCCGATTAGATGCAAGAATAAAACAAGTGTTTATGGAAATAGTCATCCCATCGGATGAGCTGGCACTGTCCAGACGTGGATTAGATCCCAACTGTGATAGAGCCAACAATCACATTGTTTTTTCCTGGTACAGCACATGACAGCAGGTTGCTTTCCCAATGGAATACTGACTCCAGGGTGTGGGATTGGAGTGTCTGACTGGCTGGGTTGACTTAGGTTTGGTTACTTTGAGGTGTAATGTTGTAGCCACATTATAAACACAGAGATGTTAGACCATCATGAAATTCCAAGCCGGCAAATGAAATCCAACATCGAGGCACTGTTGAGTGAAGACTGTTTTTTAACTGTTTTTACAGCATCCCCCAGTGTCTGCAATGCAGTATTGCCTCTGCATCACTGCAATAAAGTGCGTCTTTTGTCATGATGCTGCCAGAGAGTTGATGAGTCAGCTGGCTGGTGTAGCCTCTGTATCTAGTGTGGCGTCTATGAAGGCGCTATTCTGGCTGCGTCAGACACCTTTCAAATAGAGCACGAGGCCGAGCTGATTTCTTGCTTTTGCAGTCAGACCATCAGTTAACGAGGCTCTGCACTCCTGTAAAGGCCGGGCCTCTGTGCTGAGGCATGGTGGATGTTGCCTGGCGTGGGAAGCCCCTGCACAGGCAGGAGGGCTTCATTAACATTCCTTATTGAGGCTCCAGGAAAGGATCCCTGCAGCATTTCGTCTGCCAGAAAATATCCAGAGCCGTGACCTTTCACCTGCCTGTTTGCGCAGGTGGCGATGGGGAGAGGTGTCCCGAGGGCTTCGTCTTGGACTCGGACTCCTTCTGCGCAGGTCTGTACTGGCTAAACCCCCCGTGGCTGTCCTGTTGCTGGTCCTCTCGCCACCTCCTGACGGAGCAGTCCCCCCAGTTCTGCCGGTTGGACTGAACAATGTTTCACTGTCCTGTTTGCCTTTCCTGATGGCTCTGTACACACAGCCTGCTGTACAGCCCTCGGTCAGTGACAGATGGCAACTCGAGGCGGGAGTTGATGAAAACTGATAAGACGCCGTTTTCCGGCGCTGTCTGATTTCCGTGTCTGTGCGCTCCCCGCCAGATGAGGACGAGTGTGCCGCGCAGACCCCCTGCTCGCACTCCTGCCACAACACCATGGGGGCGTACTCCTGCTCCTGCCCCCCCGGCTTCTCCATTTCCCCGGACGCCAGCACCTGCCAAGGTAGGAATAATCCCCGCGGGGCGGCCCCAGCCAGCCCGCCTGTTTACCTTTCTTCATCATCAGTGCAAAATGAGACCGCAGAGCGGGTGAAAGAATTCCTGGATGGGAGGAATCTTCGGAAAAACGATCGGCAAAAAACGGTGAATGGGATGGCACTGTTTTTTGAAGTCTTTCTAGCCAAGTTAATTTCAAGGCCCCTTGAAATTAAAATTAAAATCCACACCGACTCAATCACACTCCAGCTGATAACACAAAACAGATTTACTTAACGCTTTTCCACACCAAATATTGCACGATTCGTACACGCATATGAAATACTACAGACAAGCAGAGGACGTTCAGCCCTCTGGCTCAGGTGAACGCTAGCAGTTTAGAGGGGAGCTGCAGGCCCAATTTCTCAGACCGGTTATTAAATCTCGGTAACAAAATGTTACAAAATGTGGCTTGTGGACTGAGCCGACAGGTTTAACTGCATAGTCCTCTCGCGCACGTCAGCGCAGCTCCACGGGGCAGGACAGCACAGGGTGACGGCGGTGCCGGTATCCGAAAGGGTGTGGCACCATCAGTCCTGGTTTCCCGTTTTGCCAAAGCCGCGGAAGGAATTTTCCCCGCGTTCACGGCAGCGCCAGCTGTCCCCCGCGGCGGCACCGGCCTTTCCCCGCTGCCTGACACGTTGTTGTCCCCGCCGTTGGCAGATGTGGACGAGTGTGCCAGGGGCGCCCACCTGTGCCACCACAGCCAGCAGTGCGTCAACACGCCGGGGAGCTACAGGTGCCTGGCGCAGTGTGGTCCAGGGTTCAAGCCCAGCCGCGAGGGAGCCAGCTGTGAAGGCAAGTCTGTCCGCCCTCAGGGGCCCTCGTCCGCGCTCCAGCTCAGCACAACCCTTGTCGCTCCTCAGCCCGTGTTTGACTGTAAGGTGCGCAGGATGAAAATGTATGTCTAAAAACAAAATCCATACACCTGATCCCAGACACCGTTTGTTTGATTCCTAACTCCGTCGTGCGTTTGGTATTGAAAAGAAATAGAGAAACCTACTTGAGATTACCCTTTAAATTGGAGATGTGTAACCCAGGTGTTGTCTTTAACGCACGAGCAAGCCAAGAGTGGCCGCGTCAGGGTGCTCAGGGCAGGCTGCACGCTCCAGATCCGCCCCCGACGGAGATCTTGTCATTCCAGATGTGGACGAGTGCCAGGAGTCCTCCGTCTCCCCCTGCCAGCACCGCTGTCTCAACACCCTGGGGTCCTTCCGCTGTGCCTGTCGCCCCGGGTACCAGCTGTCCGGCCAGCGCTGTCTGGGTCAGTACCAGAACCCTGGGCTTCGCAAGCAGCTCTGCAGCCCTCTCCGTCACGCCCCGGACCGCCCAGGCCGGCGGCGGCTCACTGCCAGTTCCCAGATTCCCTGTAGGATACCTGAACCGCCATGGGGAAGACGTTCTGTCTTCTGACACTGCTTTCTGCTTGCGAACCAGAATATTTAGAAAACCCTGCCTCCTGTGTCTTGAACCCAACTTCCAATTACCAGAACTTGCCTGTCCCCTGTGTCTCCAAAACCTTCCCGTGGCTTCCTGTATTCCTCGATTCCAGCCCTGTTCCCAGCCTGAATCCTGTTTTTTCCTTCCTTCCTTCTCCGGCAAACTCCTCTGAAAACCACCGAGCTCCTGCAATTGGACTGCCGGCCTGTCTGCCTTTCTGAGAGAGGCGGTTGTCAGTAAAAACAAACCGCCTCACAACTCTTTCCTTTCAGGAATCTGAAAGCCTTACAGCCGGTTTCCGACGAGGAAAGTCAGGACTTGGCCGGAGCAGGAGCAGAATCCATGAGGAGATTAGTTAAAGCGAGCGACTGTAGCCTCAGGTTCATACAGCAGGTGGGAGGCAAGCCGATTGCTTGAGATTGTCTGTTTGTGCCACGCAGATATCAACGAGTGTGTCGTGTCCAGCGGCGTCTGCCCGCCTCACCAGCAGTGCAGGAACACAGAGGGCGGCTACCACTGCCTGGACAGCTGTCCCCCAGGCATGACCACAGCGGGGAGTGGAGTCTGCACAGGTGAGGGGGTGGGGGGAGAAGACAGTGTGATCCCACCTCAAGCTACAGGTTACTGCTGACAGGAGTGAAAACTCTTGACTGAAGAGCAGGTTGGTTACAGTGTCTTCAGGTCATCAGGTCATGAGAAAGACCCCCCCCCACCCCCTTAGCTCTCCTTCCCTCCCTCAGTGCCTGTGGTAGACAGAAGCACAAAGGTTGGAAGTTTTGAATTGGAGTTTGATCCGTGTCTGAAGCTCACTGCGCCGGCAGAGTAAATGGCTTCACAGCAGAAACCAGGCAGGCGTGGCGAGATGCCGTGATCTGCATACTGTGGGAAACCTTGGGAGAAGGGGAAGGAGAAAGATTATAAAGGCGACGTACTGTACAGACAGCCTCTGAGCAGCCCGACTGTGGTATTAACTATCACCAGTGAAGAGATGTGATGTCTTCCTTGCTACCAAACTGTGCGGCGCCTCAGACTGAGATGAAACGTCGTGTTCTGTAGCACTGAGGTTCCCAGTCCAGTCTTCTGCTTGTTGTTATTCCTTCTGCCAATTTAAGCTACCCCAGTGTGGACTCATACGTCATCATATACATATTTTGAGATATTATTTTCCCTATTTTCAGCCTGCAACTGTCCGATATTTTTACATTCGCCTCCAAATATTTGTGAATATCTTGAAGACTGCAACTTTATAGAAGCAGATCTCACTGATCACGTAATTAGTTTCAAATTATCGACTGAGAGTCCAGTAGGAGCAAAAGGCTGCTGACAGTAGGATCACAACAACTAGGACTGGGGATCCCTGCTGTAGGTCGAAGTACAGTCCAGCTATTTAAAGCATTGATTCCTTGAGTTGCACAAGCCGTGGAAGACGGTTTTCAAGCAGTTTGTAGGTTTTGCAGACGACAGTCCTGTGTTGCTGTAGCAACGTGATCTTCTGAGTCGGGCTTTGTGTTCCAGATGTGGACGAGTGTAAAGACGGGACCCACATGTGCCGCTACAGCCAGACCTGCCAGAACACAATCGGGGGCTACCTCTGCGTGTGCCCTCGGGGGTACAGATCCCAGGGCGTGGGGCGACCCTGTCTAGGTAAGGCACGACCTCAAATTCTTGGCCATCTGCATCGTATGTCATCCTGCATATTCCTTCCCGAAACATTTCATAATGAACATATTATACATGTACAGTATGTGTACGTACCCGTGTAATACATATTACAAAAACACAGCTAGGGGAGCAGGCTATCAGCTTCATATTCAGCATATTTATTAAATGCTTTATTTATTATAGAAATATTTATAATTGCACAAAGTACAATGGACAACTGATGGTAGATGATTTGTTCATCAAATACTGAACACACTCTCACAAGAATTTAAATAAATACTGAAGGTCGAATGCAGAGAACCCTTGTCCAAGAGCAATGGAAAAAAAGGAGCAGCTCACAGGGGTGACCCCTCTTTTGCAGACATTGACGAGTGCCAGCAGGCGCCCAGCCCCTGCGCCCATCAGTGCCGTAACGTGGCCGGCAGCTTCCGCTGCCTCTGCCCCCCCGGCACCTCCCTGCTGGGAGACGGGCGCTCCTGCGCGGGGCTGGAACGGCGGCCGGCCGCCCCCAACGCCACCGGCGTCCTGGCCAGGCTCGTGCCGCAGCTGGTGTCCCACGTGGGCCGGCCCGTCCTGGCCCGCCTGTCCACTCAGCCGGGGGGCTGCCCCCCGGGGTTCAGCAGCCGGGATGGGAACTGCGTGGGTATGTACTGTACTCTACTGTACTCTACTGTACTCTACTGTACTCTACTCTACTCTACTGTACTCTACTCTACTGTACTGTACTCTACTGTACTCTACTCTACTGTACTCTACTGTACTCTACTCTACTGTACTCTACTGTACTCTACTGTACTGTACTCTACTGTACTGTACTGTACTGTACTCTACTCTACTGTACTCTACTG